AGGCGGGGGGACTAGGCGAAATCTCGGTTGAGCCACCCAGCGCACGAGGTGCCCACGAGGCGAGGCCACAGGAGGGCACCAGGCGATACCTCGGTTGATCCTGATCCACCCAACGTGAGGCGCCCATGGGCGGGCACCACGCGGAACATCTCTGGACCGATCCGATCCTTCAGGAGCCAAAGTCAGAAGCAGTATGCGCAAGCACTGTGTTGGAACACTGCTCGCTTCTCGCACTGTCAAGACGTAGACATTTCAACGAGTATCCAGAAATTCGCTGGTCAAAGACAGAAAACTGCAGGATTTCTGCGCCAGCGCACCCGGTGGAATCAACCGAACAAAACATATGTTAGGTGACTCCGCCAGACGAGAACCTGCGGGCCGCACGTGAGTTCATGCCGAAACCATGCCCAATCGGTCAATTAGACAGTATTGGCCGCACGCGCGCGTTTCCAGGCACGCCCGTTGAAAACATCGCAGGGTCAGTGGTGACCCCAGCGTGTCAACGCATAAGTTTTCACAGGCGGGAGTCATGTGAATGGCCATCCAGCATAAGTCCAATATTGGAAGTTGCTGCGCGCGCACGCCCCCGTAATCCCAATACTGTATCGATCTTTATCAGCAGCAGCATTATCAGCCTTATTGTCATCATCATCATCAGCATCATCATATTCGTCATCTTCTTCGTCGTCATTGTACTCGTCACCACCGTCGTCATCGTCGTCGTCTTCAGTATCGTCGCCGTCGTGGGTATCGCTGTCGCAATCATCACCGTCGTAGTCATCATGGGCCTCCTCCTCCTCCTCCTCCTCCTCCGCCTCCTCCTCGTCGCATTCGTCGCCGCAGTCGTTGTCACCATCGTCCCTCGCCCGCCCGAGACGACACGGACTTGCAGGAGAGTCCGCGCGCCGCTGTGCGACTGTTGTCCTCCTCCTCCTCCTCCTCCTCCTCCTCCTCCTCCTCCTCCTCCTCCTCCTCCCTCTCCTCATCCTCCTCCACCTCCCCCTCCTCCTCCTCCTCCTCCTCCTCCTCCTCCTCCTCCTCCTCCTCCTCCTCCTGCCAGCTCCGATGGGGAGTTGCACTCACGGCCTGCACGCCCAGTGCCAGCAGGCTGCGGCTGGGGGGGCGGGAGGGCTGCACGAGCAGTGCAGTGGACGATTCCAGGCTCCCCAGAGAAGTGCACCCATAGGCCCCTTGCCTCAAATTGCAAGGATAACGCTCCCACCCCCCCTGTCGAAGCCAGAGTTGCCCGCCCCCCCCACCCCCTACCCGCCGGATATTGTGCTTGTTTCCCATCGCCACCATACACGGACACTCATTTCGAATATCAAGTAATAGCATGGTAGCGAGGCGCAGTATCGATACCCCCCTCATCCCCCTCACCCCCGCGAGTGGATGTCATAATCCCATGGAGCACTAGGTTTTCTGCACTTTCCGTTTCAAGGCACACGGGCTTACTAAGAAGAAAAACAACGTGTGAAAGCAAGTGACAGATTTCCGCGCCCGCCCGCTCGCTGAAATCATAGCCAAACCGAGCGGGCTAAACATCCTGTCACGTTGGAGCATGCGGGCTTCCAGCGCGTGCACGTCGAAAAATTCTTACACTCAGCACAAACCCTAGAACTCTGTCAGATATTACACAGCGTGCAACACGCGCGCATATCCGCGCGCGCGCACTTCAGAACCCGTTTAACACGAATGCGCCCAGTAAAAGTAATGCCAAATTTACGTACGTTCTCATCACTCTCATCCTCATCATCTGCAGCATCATCAGCAGCACTTTCGGTGTCATCATCGTTGGCGCCAGCAGCATCATCACCATCGCAGTCATCATCAAAACATCGCCGTTATCACCGCCATCTTCGGTGTAGCCGCCTTCGCATCCTTCCCGCGCGCGCACAGTTCCCCAGAACGGCTCTCACGATCGCAGCCATTTTCGCCAGCGTGATCATTGCAACCGCTATTATCGCCACCACCCGTGGTAGGCCTGTTTTCTACCACCACCACCACCACCACCACCACCACCACCACCATAAGTAGGAGGGGGAGGGGGTCCTCCTCCTCCTCCTCCTCCTCCTCCTCCTCCTCCTCCTCCTCCTCCTCCTCCTCCTCCTCTCGGACAGGCACAGAACTACACCTTGGGCGAGTGGATTAGCTTCTTGCGCGGATCCACAAATTCCAAGTTCACATATGCGACATCGTCTTACGTATTGGTTCGCCTGTCATTCGAGGGGGCCGATCGCACCTGTCGGATTCGCCGGTGCCTCGACGTCGCTTGCCAGTGTCAGTGTGGAATCAAGACTTGCGCCTCACGAGCGGATTGGAGGATGAGCGCAAGGTGAGTTTTTCAGCTGCGGGGGGGGCGCTGGCGTTTGCCGCCACGCAGGGGCCAGGGGCAATTGGGAAACGCTCAGGGAAATGGAGGGCGGCAGATAGAGGAAGAACGGGGGAAGGCGAGGGCAAAGCAGCGGGCGGGAAAGGGGAAAATAGTGACCAGGCGAGATGCTCTGATAGGGGGAACGATGTGGGCGGAGGCCGCAGACACCTCCGCCTGGAGGCCGGCAGGGGGTTCAGCGGCCCTTGCCTTCCTGAATCTGCGAGCGGGGCGCGACGACGCACCCGACCTGTACCCCGTCCCTTTCGTTAGGTGCCGGTCTGTACGTGCTCGCCCCGCGGGAGACATCCAGCACGTTCAGAATTACATGTAGCCAGGCACCAGGTGTAGTTTTGCGCGTGCTCGTTTCGGCGGAGACATCTTCACAAAACGGAGCATTTTTGGAACTACACCTAGCCAGCGGGGCGGGGTGCATGTCGGGCACCGCGCCCCGGCCGCGAAGTGCCGTTCTGTACGTGTCGCCTTTTTTGCGAAGCATCGGCTTCACGCACTGCCCATCGCCGAGGCCCCGTCCCCTGGGCCGCTTCCCACCGACACCCCACATCCCCTGGCTCAGCGAAGCCAGCCGCGTGCCTGGGGGCCTCGACCTCGCGCAGCCCGCTTCCCTCCCCTGTCTGTGCCCCAGCAGCAAATTCGCGATCCGATCCCCCGCGCTTTCGAGTTCTTTTTCGTGCCGGATTCCCCGTCCGAGGGTGAAACGCTGCTTCGTGTTACGATTTGTCTTGCGGCTGCCGCCAAACCTCGCCGTGAAACATGGTGATCGCTTCCACGCTTGGCACGCAACGTCGTCGGCACGACCATCGCCTTCCATCGTAGGTCGTGAGGCGGCGTCCGTCCACCCACACCGACCGACGCGTCAAATCGAATTATGATTGCCACCCCTGGTCCCCGCGAGAAGGTGCAGGCTTGCTGCGTGTAGTTGTAGATGTGTTCGATCCTCCTTCTCCTCCTCCTCCTCCTCCCCCTCCCCCTTCTCCTCCTCCTCCTCCTCCTCCTCCTCCTCCTCCTCCTCCTCCTCCTCCTCCTCCTCCTCCTCCTCCTTATCCTCATCCTCCACCTCCTTCCCCCCGCCAACCTATGGTGGTGGTGGTGGAAAACAGGCCCATCAACCCGCCTCATCATCACCAGGACTGCCGTCGTCGTCGACGTCGCCCCGAGAGTCGTCGTGGACACCGTCGTCGTCGCTGCCGCCGCCCAGCCGAGCTGTGCCAGCGAGGTGCGGGCGGGTGGCCGGGACGGCTGCACGAGCACCGCAGGCGGTCAGGCGCTGACGCGGCCAACACAGGGAACGAGAGTCAGACAGTGGCGAAGCGTCTCGGCTCGCCTATAGCCCTAACAACCAATGTTCTGAGAACCGCTTGTGGCTTCCACGAAAAGGTTCTTAGAACATGTTTGGCGGAGTCTGTTTTGTTTTATCACATCGGTTTTCTGTTATGTGAACATTGTTTTTGTTATTAGAAAACTTTTGGGTTCTACGAACATTTCGTGGTAGGACCATAGGAATGCCAGGACGGTCGGTCCCTGCTCAGAAGAGGTATTGCACCACCGAAGATGCACCGCGCAGATTGCCAGCCACAGTTCGGCACGATCCCTGTGGCACGGGCTATTGCGACTCTCAAAGTTCGTGTTGCTGCCATGTGTAACATTGCCCCTGCGAGTGGATGGTACACAGGAGCTCGCACCACCCATGTCGCATCACACAGCGCGCACCGCATACACTGCATTTTACAGATCCCTCAACGCGAATTGCGCCACACAGCTTGTGCCACATACCGTGCACCATGCAGTCTGCATCACGCGTACTGCAGTTGAGCTGACGGTGCGACATATCTTGCGTCCCAGAGGCTGCGCCATAGCGAGCGCACATCGAGAGTGCAAGGACCAATTGTTTGGCACCCTCGATGACTAGCACGTAGTTTGAGACCCGAATTGTCGACGTTGCTTCTGTTATACCAGTGGTTGTGGGTGGCGCTATGGTAGCCGCTCAGAGATTCAAATTGCACTTGCCGATCATCCCGGGAAGGCGGGGGCTCTGCTACCGCCTAGCATGTCCTCACAAGTCGTTCAGACGTGTACCCGCCGCTTGCATCCCCACACTACCAGGTGTTTCCGATACGTCTTTACCCCTTTTCTCTGAGAGGGCGGGGTGGCGGCTACCGTTCGAGATTTTTCGCAGTACATCCAGCACGTTCGGATTGTGTTTGTTCACGCGGTTCCAGTGTTTTCTCTGCTTCAAATCGTATGCCTCTTGGCCGCTTCAAGAAGTGGAATGCATGAACGAGCTGAGACATGATATTCGAATACATGGTTGGAATCCGACCCGATATCCCGAACCTTGGTTGGAGGGTTGCAGACTACCGGTCGAGATTTTCTGGCGCGATGTATGTGCAGAAAATGTGGTGGTGAGGCTGTGGGTCTCGATGAGGGCGAGGGTTGAAGGTGATGGTGAAGGTAAAGACAGGGGCGTTGTCTCCTAGAGCGTGGGGGGTTAGAAAAATAGGAGCCTCACTCAGAATGCGGGGGTGGCATAAGCGAAGCACCGTCACAATTAACACACATACAGCCGCTTGGATCCGTCCAAGTAGGTCAGGGCAAATTTGGCTTACGTAGGCAGTTTTGGCGCAAGCGTAAGTACCAGTTCCATGATCAGCGGCGCGCACGGGGGGGGAAGAAAGAAGGGGCGAGCTTTCTCAGAAGGCTCGGAAGTCCCCCAGCGGTCTGGGAAGTGTCCTCCTAAGCCTTCCCCGAAGACACAAAAAAGCTTGTCAGAAGGCCCGAGGGCTTCTGAGGAGCCCCGCCGAGAAGGCCTCCTCCTTTTCGCTTCCCCCACCTCGCTCGCCGCCGACAAGGAGAGGCACAGCCAATTTTCCACGATGGCGCACAGAAGACTTGCCTCTCTCATGTTCCCCGCCGGCGTGGCTGGCATCGCAGACCGTCCGCCAATGGGCTGGAATTCGTGGTACGCCTGGGGCAGGGCCGCAGGCTGGCCCGCCACCAACGAGACCAACACCAAGCTGACAGCAGACCTCATGGTAACCCTGGGCCTGCGCGATAGTGGGTATCGGTTCCTGGTCGTCGACGACTCGTGGGAAAACACACACAGGGAGGAGGACGGGAGTCTCATGGCAAACCCCTTGAAGTTTCCGACGGGCATGGAGCACGTCAGCGCGTATGTGCGAGCGGCAGGGTTAGAGCTTGGCCTGTACACCACGCCCGGGAATTACACCTGCAGCGGGCAGCAAGGAGGTGGTGAGCCGGGCAGTTTCGGCCATGTGCAGCAAGATGTGGAATTATGGGTTGGCAAGTGGCAAATCGGTTATTTGAAGAATTGCGTGTGCAATACCACTGAAGCGCTCCGGACGCATGCTTACTCTGACATGAAGGCAGCGCTCACATCTATGAACAAATCTGTCGTGTACGAGTGCGACCCTTTTATGGACAGACCCTGGGCGACATTGAACAGCGTTTGCAATGTTTACGCTGTCAGCGATGATATAGCGGATTCGTTTGAAGCTTGGACATCGCAAGTGGACGTTTCTTATTCCGCGGGAGTTTCAAAATCGATTCGAGCCAGTAGTTGGCCTTCGTCCAGTGGCCTTCGGATCATCCCGCCACCCCGCCTAGGTTGTAGGTCAGAGGCCTCTTGAGAGCTTTGGGGCATCTCTTGGGAGGCCTCGTGCGTCCTGATTTGGACCTCTTTGGGGCCTCCTGGAGCTTTTGAGGGGCCTCCTCTTGGACCCGAGGGTTCGAAATGTCGGTCCGTGTTCCCCCTTCTGGGGCCTCTTTTGGCTTTCATTCGGGCCTTCTTATAGCGATCTCGGGGGCCGTTGGGGCCGTCTTGCAGCGTCGAAAGCCCGATGGCGAGAACGCAAAAATCTCTCGGGGACCTCTTGGGGGGGCTCTTGGAGCCCTCCTGGGGCGTCTTGGAGGCGCCCTGGGCCGTCTGGAGGCCGTCTTGGGCTTCTCGGAGCGATCTTACCCTTGGGCGATTCGGGGCTCTCTTTGATGATCTTGGGGGCCCCTGGAGTCCCTCTTGCCTCGTCCAGGGGACCTCTTCCGCTGGAAGAAGTCACGCGGCCCGGCCCCCGAGAGCGCCCAGCGGCACCGAGGAGTGTTCGAAAGTTGGGTCGTAGGCCGTTTGAAAAACCATAGTTTTTAAGTCGGGCATGCCCCTCTACAGGAGGAATATTCACGAATAGTCCGAAGATAGTATGAGGTCGATATTTCGATGATTGTGTCGACTATATGTGAGCATGTTTCTGTTGTTTTTTATTCTTCGTCCAGGACTTGCCTGACCGAATCATAGTAACAGTTCAGCCCAGGGAACTCCAATGGACCTGAGGGCACTCCCTTTCGTACTCTGGGGCACGGTGGCGGGTATGATTATTTGCAGATAGGCAACGGTGGTCAGTCTTTGGACGAGTACCGCTCTCAATTCGCCATGTATGCCATTCTGCCTGCTCCTCTCATAATTGGTACGGATCTTCGATCGATATCCACGGACGCTCTCAGCATATATCGCTCCGCAGAGGTAATCGCGATCAACCAAGACGAGGCCGCGATTGCTGGAATACGGCTGTGGCAGAGGCAGGGATCGCTGAACGGCTCGGAGGCTTGGGTGAGGCTGCTCAAGAAGCAGCCAGACGGTGGTCTCTCGTGTGCTGTGTTGCTTCTCAATCGTGGGACAACGGCTCAGAACGTGACAGTTACATGGACACAGTTAGCTGTCTTGGGCGACCCATGGGCGCGCATGAAGGCTGGGATCGTGCGAGATATCTTCGCGCGAAAGGACGTTGGCCTTGTACGAGGAGCTGTCACTGCAGAACTCGTACCGCACGGGAGCTCCCTGCTGAAGGTGAGTGGAATACAATCGGATGTTGCGGCTTACGTTGTCTAGAGCCCGTGCGCAGGTTACACAGCGTGGTTCTGAGGAGGGCCGCGTTGAGTGTGGCCATGGGCGCACTCGTGTATAACCTTGGTCCCGTGCTTAAACATCTAGATTAGTATGGTGGATGTGTACGCCACGAGTGACGAAGGCAC